AAAAAAAAAAAAAATGAGATTTGCAAATAAAAACACTCCCAAAGCGATATTGGAAATTTGCAGTCGAGAGTTCACAAAAATGTAAGTTCAGAAAATGTTGAATAAAACTGACACTAAAACACTAGTAAATGTGTTATTTGTGTGACTGGAATTTCGGCTTTCCATCACTAGTCGAACAATTATTCGCTACGATTATTGATCAGATATAAAAATAATACATTGTTTTTTTAAGCAATATTGCGAAATGGGTATCAGAGGAAGAGCCACGCCCACTTTGCAACATGTATAAGAGGCAGTAAACTATAACGGGCAACTCTTAGATAACTGAACGATGGCCAACAATAGTGTCAATATATTGGACAAGCAAACAGACGACAACATCTGTGCCACGGAAAATGACGACAATCAACCGGTATGACATTTGATAAAGAATTCTTTGTAAACCGCAGGTTTTGATGATGTAAATTACAGCTCTTCAGCGTCGAGGAAACTTAAAGATGTTGCTAATTTAAAACAGTAAGCATTTGAGAATAGACTAATGCTTTATTTCTCGTATTAACGTTGAAATATAGCATAATTCACAAAATCGTTGACATGAGAAGTTGATGCTTACATGTTGATCTGATGCAGAAAACTCCTGGCATCCCTTTATCCAGAAAACTCTGCTATGCAGTTGGAGGAATGCCTTATCAAATGACAGCAACCGCCAAGGGCTTTTTCATGCAGATCTTTTTACTGGATGTTGTGAAGGTAAGTATGAAAGGATAGAAGTTGTGATCTTTAGAAGCTGTCATTGGTGACCATATAGATCAGAACCTCTAACATACTCTACAAATTCAGTTTCACACCAGCCTTTTACACATGGTATCACATTAAATATATATCTTATGCATAACGTATAATCAAAGAGGCTGTGTTACATACATTGACCTTAAATTTTGAAGAAAGTATATACGCATTAGGGAAAAACATTTGGTTTTTAACACTACCACACCCATTCATTTTGATAGTGATCCAGGAAATCACCCTACACAACAGTAATATCAGTGTTATTGGCACTCAAATGCACAGATGACTTATTTCTATTTTGCTGGCTTTTTAACTGTGTAAATGTGTCACATGACATTCTGTGATCACTTTTGAACTTAATATAATGCAATCTGCCGTATCACTTAACATAGCTTCAATTTCCATTAGAATATTAGCAGAAATGTGAT